GGAAGGGCAAGGGGGAGGGGAGTGCCTGCACCAGTGAACATGTACTCCTTACAAACGGCAAGTACCCAACCTCTGAACCAGATTCTTCGTGAGCAGACCAGGTTCTTAAACCACCAGTTCACACAAGCCTAAGTTGACCAAAGTAGCTTCACGCAAGCTGCAACTGCGACTTGTCAAAGTGGTCCGCCGCTTTTGCTACCAGCGCAGCGCTGCGTTAAACTGGTAAGCGTCGTACTCTGCTTCGGGTGACCTCGTGGTTAAGTACTAGGCCAGGTTCTTTAGGAATGGACCAGGTTCTCCCTAGACTTGAGAGACCATGCATCGGTGCTTATAAAGAACCAGTGCCAGTAGAGTCCATATACCCTAGACCTGTGTAGACACTGCCACAGTATATACTTATACTATAGAGTAGTATCCACTACTAGAGAGGTATAGACCAGGTTCTCTGTATGCTTTAGATACTATGTACAGGATGTGCAGACTGTAGTAACACGTAGTTCATTAAGGTATATACTTGATAGTAGGGGATTAAGGCCGAAGGGCCGCCGCCTGGCGGCGCCTATGGTCGCCTCTTCAATCTCTCCGTGTGGCATATAGTACTATATACCGTTTTCGCATTTAAACCACCAGTTCACAGCCCCGGTCACCTTGAGAACGACGAGAGGCTCTCTGCTAAAAATACGGATGCTCGGGCCAACTGGATCAAAACGGCTGGCGGTAGCGGTGCCAGCCAAAATGAAAACAAAAACACCACGCTAGTGTTTCAGCAAAGCGTGGTGCGAAGGGGAAATCCGCCTGGTACAAAAGAGGCTCCGATGTACTGGCAGTTTAAAGTTTAAACCATCCGTCCCCCTGCCAACCCAAAACCTGCTTCCGGTGAGTTAGGGCCAGGTTTTTCGGAAGGGCGGCGACCGTTGGTTACCGGCGGGTCCAATCCCGCAACTAAAATGTACCCTCACTTTGGCGATTTTTTGCGCTTAAGAAACTAATAATCAGAGGATTCTGAAATCTTGGGAACCCGTAGATTAAGTCATAATCTTTCTAGGAAAATATCAAAAAAAAATTAAAAAAAAACTTTTGACCGTGAAATAGTTGCGTTCATTTTCCATTTTTGCCACTCTGCGACATGTCGGCCAACGGAAAAAGCACCCTAACTTCAGTGATGTTTCCAGCTCAGAAGAATGCGTTGAGGGCCCGTAGATTAGGTCCTGATCTTCCCAGGAAAATTACCTGAAAACTTAAAAAAAAAAAATTGATGCTGACATCGTCACCGCGCCAATTCAGTGCATTTTTCCATTTTTGCCACTCTGCGACATGTCGGCCAACGGAAAAAGCACCCTAACTTCAGTGATGTTTCCAGCTCAGAAGAATGCGTTGAGGGCCCGTAGATTAGGTCCTGATCTTCCCAGGAAAATTACCTGAAAACTTAAAAAAAAAAAATTGATGCTGACATCGTCACCGCGCCAATTCAGTGCATTTTTCCATTTTTGCCACTCTGCGACATGTCGGCCAACGGAAAAAGCACCCTAACTTCAGTGATGTTTCCAGCTCAGAAGAATGCGTTGAGGGCCCGTAGATTAGGTCCTGATCTTCCCAGGAAAATTACCTGAAAACTTAAAAAAAAAAAATTGATGCTGACATCGTCACCGCGCCAATTCAGTGCATTTTTCCATTTTTGCCACTCTGCGACATGTCGGCCAACGGAAAAAGCACCCTAACTTCAGTGATGTTTCCAGCTCAGAAGAATGCGTTGAGGGCCCGTAGATTAGGTCCTGATCTTCCCAGGAAAATTACCTGAAAACTTAAAAAAAAAAAATTGATGCTGACATCGTCACCGCGCCAATTCAGTGCATTTTTCCATTTTTGCCACTCTGCGACATGTCGGCCAACGGAAAAAGCACCCTAACTTCAGTGATGTTTCCAGCTCAGAAGAATGCGTTGAGGGCCCGTAGATTAGGTCCTGATCTTCCCAGGAAAATTACCTGAAAACTTAAAAAAAAAAAATTGATGCTGACATCGTCACCGCGCCAATTCAGTGCATTTTTCCATTTTTGCCACTCTTCAACTTGTGGGCCAACGGAAAAGCATCCCTAACTTCAGTCATTTTTCACGCTCAGAAGAATGCATTAAAAATCCTGAAAATTGGAGAGCCTATAGATTACGTCGTGATCTTTCCAGGAAAATTTTTTTTTTTTTTTTGAAAAATTCGTTTCAACCGCGAAAAAGATTGCGGCGGCAGTTCCATGCATTTTCCATTGTTGCCATTGCACCGGTTCTCCAACAGAACCAAAGACTGAACCAGGTCCTCATAGAGCAGGTCAGCACTGTACCACCTGCAGTGAAGAGGACCTGTACCACAAAATGGACTCCTCTCTCTCTCTCTCTCTCTCTCTCTCTCTCTCTCTCTCTCTCTCTCTCTCTCTCTTCTTTTCTTTTTTTTTTTACTACGGGCTCTCTAGTGGTACAT